CCACAGAGGGCGGACAGGAAGTCAGCCATGATGGAAAGGTCACTGGCATAGGAAAAAAGACACAAAGTTTTCCTGGCCAAAACAAAGGGTCATGTGGAAAGTCACCTTGTTCGTTTGGTACTTGTTTTTAATATCGTCATTCCTGCCTAGAACCAATTGAGTACCAAGTACTACTGTATTTATACTAACAGAGTTCATAAAGAACTACCAGTTCTTCCTCCTCCTTAAGCAACATAAGCATATTTATTACATTAATTTTGTGTACAGAACTGCCAGATGAAATTAAAAATCATAACTCATGTTATACTACTACTAATAAAGGATCTTTACTATCTTTATTATCAATAGTAAAGGATTTTAATCTGCTAGTTGTTGTCAATTACAGGGGATAGTGCTTATCTCCGTTTCAAGGGCCACTGAGTCAGTGCTGTCCAAAGACATTTCCATGGTCATATGGCCAGCAGTTAAGAAGCTGGGTTTGTTGACTCAAAAGCCGATAGCCCAGTTTCAAGACCCAAGTGTTACATGATGGGGTAAGCTCCTGTTCTTGTTTTAACTTCTGCCAACCTAGAAGTTTGGAAGAATGAAAATGCAAGAGGACAAATATTGCCACTACATCATTCTAAAAAAAATAAAAATAAATGCAGTCTTAGATGCTGTGATATTCAGAAGCCCAGGTATACACTACGTGTATTTGCCTAACACGTGTTAGTTAATATGTTTGAATAAATAAAATGCTACATTTGGACTATGGAAGCACCAATTTTCATACAGTCTTGGGGTTCATGATTTTGGCCAATTTTTAAACTAACAGATTTGTAACAAGATGAAATGCAAAAATTATGCATACTTTAACAAACAGGCGGATTTTAATTGGTGATAATTATAGATAAAAGTAGGACCTGTCAGGAATTTTGAGGCCAATTAATAATGCAAGTCTTTGGGTATTTGAACTGAAAAAAAAAATAGAAGTACTTCCATGTGCTTGTCAAAGTTTTAACAAAGCACACCTATTCTTCAAGTCCAGTATTAATATTTCACTACCTTTAAAGTAAGTATGAATAACTTACTTCCAAGAGAATTATCAACAAGAAGTTAACACATAAAAATGCTAATATGAGCATATCACAAATTTATAATATTGTCTACATTTTCTTGGTTTTCAGTTGTCACCAGAGGTTCAACTACATTAATACAGTATTTCCAAGCATTAGATTGTAGAAATCACAAGCTGCTTGATATTTACTGTATCGTAATAGAAATTTCTACTTACTTGGAGACTGTTTTTTGTTGCTTTTCTGAATCTTATTTGGAATCCCATAAATCAGAAACATGACTGTTTGCAGAAATTCCTATGAAATAGGGTAGTTCTGGAAGATATGTTAAATTTAGCATCAGTATGTTTATCATACTGATGCTAAATTTAATATATCTTATGTTAAATAACATAACAAGAGGACGTGGTGGCTCAGTAGCTAAGACGCTGAGCTTTAATCAGAAAGATTGGCAGTTTGGCTGTTTGAATCCCTAGCACTGCATAACAGAGTGACTCCCGTTACTTGTCCTAGCTTCTGCCAACCTAGCAGTTCAAAAGCATGTAAAAATGCAAGTAGAAAAATAGGAACCACTTTGGTGGGAAGGTAATAGTGTTCTGTGCACCTTCGGCATTTAGTCATGCCGGCCACATGACCACAAAGACATCTTCGGACAGCGCTGGCTCTTCGGCTTTGTAACGGAAATGAGCACCGCCACCTAGAACTGGAAATGACTAGCACATATGTGCGAGGGGAACCTTTACCTTTGTGTTTATCACTGCATGTAACAAGCACAAACCCAAATACATGTAAAGTGCATTGAAGATTTAAAGATAAGTTCCCAACCTAAGTGCAAAGATAAACAACAGTTTGAGTTGAACTTGATTTCAAGTAATTTGTCAACAGTTCAGAAATGGTTTGTTATTCCCTTCTTCAATATTTTTTTTAATTTTGAGTTTTCCGTAAAAATTAACTGTAAATAAATTCTATATAGGCAGGGCTATAATTATGTGTATAACTTCTAACAATTTCCCTTGTTAGCCTTTTTGTTTTCTAATAATAGTATCAAAATTAGAATTAATTTTCTTTATCCTTTAATCACCAAACTTTCAGATTTTAGCTTTGAAATACTGAGCATTTATAGATCCTGAGAAGAAATAATTCAGCAGTTTCATACTTCATTTCTACTTCATCCAGTTGCATTTTTGTTCATTTGTGTAGGTGTCACTGCAAATCTTTAAAATTACTAATTTTTGCTGAAAGCATTGATCTGACTAAACTAGTCAAGTCAAAATTTTATCTTTAAAACACTATTCTAACTGCAGACAATACATATTGTATAATACAGAATTACAGCAAGAAAAATAATGGACATTTTAACTTTATAGGAAGCACAGTCTTATGCAGATGACAACAGTTTATTGTTTATGGAGACCTCAGCTAAAACATCAGTGAATGTAAATGAAATATTCATGGCAATTGGTAAGTGAACTCTTATTTAAAGTTACAGTTTAAAAATATTTTTGTGACACTTTAAGGGAGAGCAGTCATCAAAATGATGGAACTACAGTGGCAAATGGACAGCCTGGCCTCTGATTGCTGCTTGATAGTAATTTTGACATTTTTAAATCATAAAATACACAGCAATTTTATATAATTTGCAGTTCTTTACAAATTGATAAAGTCAAAAGTACTGATGGAATGCAGAATATTTAAATAAAAAGTAGATTAGCAAAGATAATGTTCACTTTGAACAAATAACTTGATTTATTTTTAACAAAGCACTTTTATTTCATGGGCAGTTTATGGCCCTGTAGATCATGGTTGGTTTAGGAAAATTTGGTTTTATCGGAAGAAGCCCATAATTACTAAACCTATTAAATAAGTGTGATCTGAAAGCTGCTGTACATATGGAATGGAATCCATGCTTATTTGTATATTGGTTTAAAGTAAAGCTTTAATTTGACATACTGCATTCATTACGCATATTGAGATGAACCAGTTTCATTAAAACTAAACTCAAATTCAAAGTTATATTTAATTTCAATATCTGAGAATATGTGTTAGATTATTTGATTGTGTCAAATTCAGCTCATTCCAAAATTTATTTTGTTCAGTTGATTGGCGCTATACCATATTATATTGACATTTTCTTTTATTCTTTTAAGTAAGTAAAGTCCCATTAGAAAGCATTTATATTTCCAATGCGTTTACAAAGTGATTTCCATCATGAAAGTAAAGTGTTTAAGTTAGTCCTCAATGTACAACTGTTTAGGGATCCTTCAGTTACAATGGCACTGAAAAAAAGTAACTTGTGACCATTTTTCACATTTATGACTATAGCGACATCCCCAAGGACACGTGATCAAAATTCAGATGCTTGGCATATTCTGGGGTCATGTGATTGCCTTTTGCAACTTTCTAACAAGCAAAGTCAGCGGAGAGGCCAAATTCACTTAACAACCATGTTACTAACTTAACAACTGCAGTGATTCACTTAACAGCTATAGCAAGAAACATTGTAAAATGAGGCAAAACTCCCTTAACTCAATAACAGAAATTTTGTGGCTCAGTTGTGATCGTAGGTTGAGGACTATATTTAAATTTGTCCTTTAGCACTGAGCTGCTTTTTACATTTTGCTTGGAATGAATACAATACTATATTATTAAGGTTAGAAAAAAAATAGAACTAAAAGTAATCCTGCATATTAAAAAAATTATTAAGCAGAAACATAAATTTGAATAAGATATAAACCAAGAAAAATTTATTATTTTATTCCCATGAAACTGTATTAATTTATTGTCCAATTTTGCAGCATTTCTATTTCCAGGGATCTCAACAATTTATATAGAAAAATTGACGTATTGAACACTTTGTGATAAGCCGTAGTTTTTTTTCAACATACTTTTTAAAACAAGTCACGGTGAACCATAATGGGCAAGTTTAGCTATACACAGACAAGCCATATTGAAGTAGCTCCATAATCTTTTGGATCTTTTGAAAAAGAAATTCATGTATGCTGCCAAAAAAGTACATCTAGTGTGAAATATATGGTAGAGTTATTGCAGTCAGGTGCTGATAGAGCCAAGTTAAAATAAGCATATTCCAGAAACACTGTAAGGATGTGATGAACGTCATCCATTTTTGTGGAAGGTTAATCAGAATAAAAAAATATTAACTATGCTGTATAGTGCTGTTAGCTATAAATATACACAGCTAATGCTTATTTTTTTAAAAAATATTCTAATTTTGCTATATTTTTATAGCTAAAAAGTTGCCGAAGAATGAACCACAGAATACAGGAGCTAACTCTGGTAGAGGAAGAGGAGGAGTAGATCTTACTGAACCAACACAACCAACTAAGAGTCAATGTTGTAGCAACTAAACTTTCAGCTGCTTTAAACTGTCTTGAATATTCTTCCACTTCCTAACTTCTTAATAACAATGGAATTTGGAGTATTTAACCTGGCCCAATACAGCTTCCAAAACTGAAGAGACTTATGGAATAGTTGTTTCTAATAATACAGAATGATTTTGTCCTAATTTTTAATAACATGCATGTATCACTGGCTGTTATGTTTTAACAATGGGGTGGGGTGGGGAAAGAAGCTGGCTAAACCTGCTTCAGTTAAGAGGTTTTTAACTGGACTACATATCATTAGGAATAGAGATCGAACTGTTCCATGGATCTGCAGCTAACCAGTTAGGTCCTCAAGTGTTGGATATTGGTTACTGTTAAAGTGTAATGAATAGAATTTGGATTCTCCATTTGTGATTTTGCAAAAAAAAAAAAAAGGTTAATATACCTTCTGAACTTTCTGTAGGCTTATTAACAGTATTTATGCAAAATGTTTATGTGGGTAATTACCATGTAAATATACATTCCACAGTTTCATAATTTAAGTAAAATATGTGAAACATTAACAATTTTATTGATCCTGAGCTTGCAGAACAATTGGTTTTCTTTTAGTTTTATTACACTATATATAAATTTGTCAAAACCCAGTTTAATTTTTTAAAAAAAATCAAGCTTCACACATTTTTTCTGCTTTTAAAATGTCACAACCAATGAATTCAACTTCTGATGCAACACAACATATTTCTTAACAAACTATTGAGACATATCTTATAAAAACTAGGTAGCTGATTTTGATTTTAATCAGTGTTGACCATTAATACAATTACCTTTTCCCTAAGAATGTAACTGGTCAGAGCACTAAAAATTATGTACATTCAACTTGATTTTAAATTGGTATGTCAATGTACTGTAAATAGGGTACTGCATTGTAGTCTACGTCTGTTTTACTCTGTACTATTTAAGAATTGCTTAAAAGTATACAATATGTACAGTTACTTAAAAGAGCTAACGTTTTGTTTTCCCCAGATCACAAGGGGGATTAAGTTCTTCCTTCATGGGTAGAACAATAATAAAATATGCTCTTGTACCTGTAACATAAATACAACTGTCTATCTGTAATGAATTCTGCTACATTGTTTCCCAAAGTCCATTTTATTTTGATTTATCCAGTATATTGCACTAATTCTTTAGTTATTTTCATTATATGAAATCTACCACGTGTCCGAAAAGATGATTTAATCTATTTAAATGTTGAACTGCTAGCAAAAACTTACATGTGCAGATGTAAATTTGCAATAATTTGGGCTTAGCAAGAAAAATGACAGTTCACCAGTGTTTAGTTTTATATTGAGGTGCTCAGGTTTGAATAAAGTGGTATAAAAGGAAATCTGGTAATCATTCTTTTTAAGCAACATAGTAATCGTTCTTTTTAAACAAGTGTTTATTTTTTATGCATTATGTCAGTGTTTCCCATCAACACATCAGTGGGTATGTTATCACATCCATTTAAGAGAGCTAGCAGTACAGAAACATTATTTCTAGAACCTGCTTTAAGAGCAGCTTTTACCAAGTGCTTAGTAATATACTTCGCTGCAAGATTGTAAAATGTTCTAGAATCTGTTTCTGAATCTTCAGATATCTGTAAAAATTCATGATTTTCAGATATCAGGTCTTCTGAATTTTTCCTGTTTTCTTTTTGGATTACTTTAGTGTCTGGTGAAGTATTTTGTTTTGAAGATGTAGGAACATTAGCTGATGTTTCTAAAGAGTTTTCTGAGAGTTGCTTTGTAGAAATAGTACAACTGTTTGACAGAACTACTTTTTCTTCTGTGCTATTGTTAATTGGAAGCTTTAACTGAAAACTTGGTTCAGTTTCCTCTTCGTTGCCTAAATCCGATTCAGAAAATAAATCAGAATCCATATACCATGAATAGAATTGATCTTCCAAAGATAACTTTGAAGTTTGGGGAATGTAACTTTTCATCAATTGGGCATGTTGATATTTTGCCAAGTAAGCAGAAAACAAAGTTATTGTTAATAACACAACTTCATTTTTATCCAAAACTTCCCAGAGTCCATTAGTTGCTATAATAAAAAATTGACATGAGTTATCAAAAGAGAAAGAGATTGTATTTGGTACAGGAATAACTGTTTTCTTTATCTTTGGGTTTCCATGATGGCCAAAGCCACGAGTATTTTTTATTAGTCCTTCTATTAGTCCTTTAGGCTCATTACTGCTGATAGATCCACCATTCTGAAGAATGCGTCTCCTTTCCTCTTTACAGTATGTGGAGTGTTCTTTAGTAAGCCAATAACTCTTTCCATTTTTACATAAAACTGCATGAACATTACCTAAATTAAAAAAAAAATCATTATATAATTTTGAAGACAATATATAATCATATTTTAGGTACAAGTATTGTTTGTGCTGTGTTAGCACAGATCATGCTTTTCCATATCTCTGATAAGGCCTAATTTTCAACAGCAGTATAGATGTGTAACATTCTGAATACAGTATATAACACTAACCTTGTGTGTATTTGGACGCATATCTTGTACAGGAACTTTCATTGTTCCTAGTTAAATTCTGATTTTTAAAAACCATTTAAGCTGTTTTCTAAAAGTTTCCACTTTTCAAAGTTTCTTTGTTCATTTGAGGAAATGTGGTTTCCCAACAGGACTTAAACAAAAATAGGGCAACTAATAAGAGTGAAGTATCAATATGCTTCAGCAAATCCCTGAGGTGTATAAATGTAAAGCTACATAAAACTGATGGCTAACAGTACAATAAATCTACATTTTAAAAAAAATCATAAGCCTGATTAATGCTGTGTTGATACTTTTTAAAGGCCAGAGAACATTTGGGAAGAAAGTGTTCCCAGTTGTGTAAAGAAAGTATAAAATTGCCAACTTGGCAACTTTAAATCGTGTAGCTCCCAAAATTCCAGGTGGTAGTTGAAATCCACATGTCTTAAAAGTTGCCAAGTTTGACAAACACTGATATCTCAACAAGCCTGACAGATTGAGGTCTGTGAGATATTTTGGAACTGCAACTTCCAAACTCTCAGCAGTTTACTAACAATTGTTCATATCTAGATGTGGAAACCTTGACTTCTTTAGTATGGCTGCTAAGGTTACGGTGTGCTATGAAATTATCTGCTCTGAAACAGCACCTTTTGGGTAGGATGAGCATGCATTAATCTGTTGCCAATAATGCCACATAATGCTTATCTAACTGGAGTTTCTCTCAAATAGTACTTTGCCTCAAATAACCAAACTCTGCATAAACATATTTTGAATCCAGAACAGTTTGCATTCCAGAAGTTCTATTGAACCATTTAAGTTCAGCAGTGATTCAGAAGAAATAAAATCTCTAGTGTATTGTTGTCCTAGGCTTTGATCAAAATACAATTTCAAGGAATTCCAAAGTGATTTTACAAGATGGGCATGACACGGCTGATGTCTACCACCTTTTTCCTTCATCACTTATTTTTCTTCAACAATTCGCAGTTCGGTATATCCCACCAGCCTGCTTGCCTGCCTACCTACCTGATTTTCCCAGCTCCCTTGTAGTGACCCATGCACCCATTATTCACTATGACATAAAGAATAGGATAAATCTTAGCATGATTTATTCCAGTCCCCCCACTTTCTGATTTTCTCAGTGTTTCCTCTTTGGTGCTGCTATCTTTTTTTTTTTTACTCATTCCAGCTGCAAAACACTTCTGGGAGTAGCTGGTTCTATGTACAAACCAAAACATTCAGAACCCAAACAATCTAAAAACAATTATTCTGGGCACAGAAAGGCTCCTGTAAGAAATTCTTATTGAAAACTTTGCTGGTGCTTAATATGGTAAGATAATCAAAAATATTCAAAGTCCAATGTGTTCCAGGGGCTTAAAAACCAATTTTTCAACAAAGTATTCTCAGAACCTAATGGGTAGGATCAATTATATCCTCATTTTTAAAAGGTTTTTATTATTACATAGTATTTATTAATTCATTACTGTAACATTTATACCCCACTGTAATCCAATGACTTGGTGGCAGGCCACCAGGTCAAAAACCCAAGTAAGCAAGATGAGAAATTTCTCGTTAATACTTCAATTAGATCTTGGAATGAAGGCCTTTCCTATCAAATATTTGCCTACATTAACATTCAAGTTCAAATCTTTATTTACACTTTCCCAAGTTTTACTGCTTAACATCTTGTCTATATCCTGGACAGCTTTTTTCCTAGCTACATATGGTAGGATTCTACTTCCATTTTTTAGAAGATATTTGTACTATAGCTCAATTTTCCAAAAATACCTTTGCTAAAACACTCCAGTGGAGTGAAAGCAATATGATTTGTTACATGTAGTCCTCTATTTACAACCACAATTGGGATTTGAATTTCTATCACTAAATTTCTATCACTAAAAAATGTACTCACCTAGCAATGGCAGTCTGGGATATCCTGTTGCTGTTACTAGCTAAATTTGATTAATTAATTGGGAACCCATACCAATCTTTGTCCTTTTGGTGAGCCTTGGTCAGCAAGCAGTCCCACAACCACATGGTTCTGGTGCTGCTTGCCACTTGGTTGGTCAAGGGCTTCTTGGCATACCATAGCTCTAGGGTTACCAGAAGCCCCAAAGATGCAGCACTCCAGGAAACCTGAACTAGTTCTAGCCACCATAACCCTCATCACGTGCTCTGTGTGGGCCCCACCTCCCTGTGTTCATCTGACCTTTGCCACCTGTTCCTGCTGCTCACAAAGGCCATATGGCAGCTGTTGGCAAATGCCATCTTCTCTGGGTCTCACAAAGAAACTGCCACATGCAACTTTGGGACGAAAATCTCATGTGGCTAGTAGTTGTTGTGATGTGCCAGGCTGCACATGCTTGGTCAGCATTGGAAGCAAGAAAATGGCAAAGGTCAGCTAGGGCAATAGGAGTCACGGATAGTGGACCAAAAGGACACAGATGAGGGAGCTAGACAGGTGCGGGGAGTTGAAGGGTTTGTGGTACAAGTGGACTGCCATGCAGTTAAATTTTTGTCATGTGATCATAGTGTGCTGCAACAGCCATAACTTTGGGGACTGGTCAGCGCCAACCTAATTTTGAACATACAATAAATGGCACTGTGCAATTTAATTAGGATCAGTTATAATTCAAGTTATGCTTTGCTCGGATAAATTAACATACTAACCAGAGTTAGTTGTCATATAATTGAACTGAATTAACAAAATATTTAGAAAGATTTATAGATTATAAAATATCATAATTAGGAAAATTCTGCTGAAAAAATCAGGATTGCACAATCAATTCAATAAATGACTATTCTAGATTTATTCCTAGAATAACTCTGGAGCTCAATGGCTAACAGTTGTGACCAGAGAAACAAAATGGGAGAGTGGGAGGGAAACATAATATTCTGAATTTTATGACTTTATACATACCAATGTTAGCAATATGCATCATTCCAGCAATTTCATCTGAATTTTCTTTGTTTTCAATCCAAACTTCTTCCTGGATCTCATCTTTATTCTTTGCCAATTGTTCATTATCTTCTGACACTACGATGCTTTTTTTAATTCCATCATTTATACTTGTAAATAGTTCTCGAGGATGTTCTGTGAGAGAACCTGCCCCTTGCTCTGTGTTATTTTGGTCTTCTCCATCACTTACTCTTCCAAGTGGCTTCTCTTCCTGCTGTTCCATAATTTTGTGTTCTTCTTGTTCTATGATTCTTCTTATCATTATTCTGTTTGGTTCAGGCAGCCCCTTCTCATGTTGCAGGAAGTTCTGCTCTTCGTTATCATTTATTGTTTCAACTGTTTCTTCCCCTTCTTGTTCTTCTTGGTTTTGTTTTATGTTGCCTGCCATTTCTACTAAACATATGGCAGTTGTACAGCTACTCCAACAAACTTTGGAAACTTCACCTCGTCCAAGACGTAAAAGCCTATCCATTCTCCAGAAAGCTTTTGCAAATGCTCTATGAATCCATTCATACTTATTTGGTTGTGAGTTTTGGCTTCTGGCTTCTGCAACAGAAAATACTTGCTCCTTTAATTCATAGTCTTCTTTAAAAATAGTGCAAAAAGAATGAAGCATGTTTTTTTCAGCATTGCTAATCTGATAGGAGGAATCATTATGAGAAAGCTGGTCAAGAAGTAAAAGAGGAAGTTCATCTGAAGTTAACTGAGCAGCAGAAATTCCATTATTTCCATCAAAGAGTCCAAGTAAGCAAGTATCTCTCTTGTGCCCATAATTATCTAGTACAATAAACACATCTTCCATTTCTGTGTGCCAAACAGCATTTTTATCTTGACAAATTGCTATGGCTTTAATCAGCGGATTGCTTACATCTTTAATATACACCGAACTTTGAACAACATTATCGATGCAAAAGTATGGAGGAATTTTGATGCTCTCTTTAAGAAGATCAATGGAACAACCAATCTTTTCTATCTCTCGTTCAGGATATTGAGCAGTTTTTTGCAGTCTTAAAATGAGTTGCTTTCTCCGAAGGATAATTTTTTTTATATCTATAGGCTCCACATATGGCCACTGATAATCTAGTACAGCTTGAGCTTGGTGGACTTTTTTGTGATGAAAAAGTTGACTGATGTATACCATTTCTTCACAAATGGAACATGGGATTCTAATATTTAAGCTTTCAATTTTCTTAAAATCAATGATAAGCATATTTGCTAAATCCTGTTCCTCTTTGCAGAATTCAGAGTTTTGTAGTTTTTGTTCCTCTTCACTAGTTTCAGAATTTTGTAGCTCTGTTTGGTATGTCATTCTGGGGGTGGAGTGGGGAATAAATAAAATGTGTTACAATAATTATTAAACAAATCTAAAAAATATAGGTCTTGATCCAAGAAGACTCAAAAGTAGTTTTGAAACATAAAGGAGTTTAAAAGAAGTGTGATATAGATGAAGCCAGGAAGAAATTAACTATTGAAAGGTGCCGGGGACCCCTCCAAATTCTACATTTATTTTCTCATAAGTAAACAGTCATTTAGATTACAGCTCCTATTTTGTATATTTTTGGCAATTTATTGTGGATTCCAAGAAAATTATGAATAACCTTTTCTACTATTTTTTTGCTTATAGTGAATTGTCATTGAATACTGCAAAGCATAACTTCACAGACATGTGCTGAAGAATGAATCCCATGTGTGGAAGTAGGTCATATGAGATTCCTTAGGAGAGGTCTTACCTTATTATCTGGGAACCGTTTGACCCTATTGACTCTGTTGAAGTGAACAAGGTCCTAAATCTGTTGGTGTCACCATCTGCCTGTTAGATTCTGTCTCTCTTAGATGGGTGAAAGTTTTCAGGATGATGCATGGCAGGTGGATTCAGGCAGTAATTAATACATCACTAGAGGAGGGAACATTTCCAGAGGCTTCTAAGGAGGCCTTGGTTTCCCCCTCCCTCCTTAAAAAACCATCACTAGATGCCACATGCTTGGACAACTTTCATCTAGTTTCCAACTTCCCCTTTGAGGGGAAAGTTGTAAAAAAGGTAGGTGGTGGTGTGGCAGTGTCAGAGGGTCCTGAATGAAACAGATTATCTGGACCCCTTTCAGTCAGGCCCAGTTATGGGACAGAAACAGCATTGGCCATGTTTGCAATACCTTGAGGTTGTGAGGTCCTGGATGAGGAACAACAGGCTTTGACTGAAACGTGGCAAGATCAAATGGCTTTATATACACAGGGCCCTGAAATATGGCACTGTCATCTTTGATACTAGATGGTGTAGCACTACCCCAGATATATAATTTCCACAACTTGGGGGTTCTTCTGGATTCACAATTTTTGCTTGAAGAGCAGGTGGCAGTCATGGATAGGAGGGCCTTTGCACAATTTCAGGTTGTGTGCCAGTTGCTGCTTTTCCTGCATCAGAAATCTCTATGTTCAATTGTTCAGGATCTAGTCATTTCATGGTTGGGCTATTGCAATGCGCACTGCATGGAACTACCCTTGAAGAGCATTCAGAAGCTACAGCTGGTGTAGAGTGTAACAGTGCAGTTCTTCGGGCACAAAGAATGGCATGTGTAACACCACTGCTCAAAGAGCTGCATTGGTTGCCAGTCTGTTTCCTGGTATAACTCAAGGTTTGGTAATGACCTGTAAAGCTCTTCATGGCATATGTCCAGTACTTGAAGGACCATCTAACCTCACAGAATGGCAGAGGAGGCATGCTATGGGCATCAGCCTGATTATTCCAGCTGATGGGGCCCAGGAGAAGTGTCTTCTATGCTGTTGCACCTGCCCTCTGGAACTTTTTGCCCTCTTGATGTGAGGTTAGCCCAACCCTCCTGACCTGTCATAAGAGCCTAAAGACTGGGTCTACCAGTTAACTTGGGGTTCCAATGGGGAACAACATGATGAGTTAATTGAGAGTGAAGGGATTATAACAACTATGAGGGAGAAAGGATAAGATTGTTATTATCTGTTCAAAAGAAGTTTAGAAATCATTCATGTTTTCTTTAAACTTTTCCATTGAAGTTATCATTTAATTTTCTTTCTTGCACTTTTTCTTAGCTTTTTTCCTTTGATTTGCCTTTTATTTTATGCAAAAAGTATTAATATAAACAAAATTATATAATTAATCATAGCAAATGTGAATTATAAATCATAAGATTTTCAAATGTAGTCAAATGCCTTAGTATTCCCCTTGTTCCTCTAATCTTCTTGTTGCTATGCTACTTATTTGAATATTGAAGTCAGTTAAGTGTGGAAGAGTACCATGTAACAAAAGATTCAAGATATCTTTATTCTGTTCTATTAATAAAAAATCTTGTAATCTAAACAGATTATTCTCTCAACTGAACAAATCTTTTAGTATTTTCTTCCTAATAAAAATAGACATTCAGTAAGGAAGCAAGAGGAGGGAACTATTTACATCTTTCCCTATATCACAGATATTCAATAAATTGCTTAATAAAAGATAGCCTCTAAAATTATTGTTTTCTCAGTATAACAACTTAGATGTATCGATGTGCTCCCTATCGAAGGTTTGCCTCTCTTCCTGCCCTCATCCAAATAAAGCGTGATAACCCTTGTACTAGAAATGAAGTCTTCACAAAAATTGACAAACACTCAATGATTCTGAAGCATAGTGCTAATACAAGACCTTATATTAATCCATTCAAAATCTATATTCACTTGACTGGATGAAACAGCACTTGACTCCATGTCTACAAATTTGATTTTTTACCCATTTAAAGTTTGACAATAGGGTGAAATTATTTCAGTTCCTAACCTCCAATTAGATTATAGATTACAACCAGATGTCTTCTTTGTTATGATGGTTATTTTCAAATGTTATTGGGATACCATTAGTCTGCTTAATTTAGTTCATATTGTCTTTGTGTATTTAAATATAAATGAAAGAGGAATGGGGAGGCAGCATTTATCTTTTATGAAAAGAAGAGAATACCCTAACTATTCTTAAATTATTTTCAAACATCTTGCAAAAGTAGGAAGTCATTTACTACTAGTAATGATGGTCAATATGGTTTACACATGGGTAAAGGGATTATCTCCAAGTTCTAAATTTCTTTTGTATAAATAAATATACAAATATATTCAGTTCTTATTTAAGCAGTGGTTATAGGTTTTCATTAGTTATGGCAATTGCTGAATTGGAAGCTCCATATTTATATATCTCAGTTTCTACAGTTGTAAATTCTACAAATGAATTATTGAGTGAAGAAAATAACGGTTGTAATACTTTGTTATCATTGCTGCTAGTATTAAAGTTCGTCGTAAATTAACTTCCAGTCAATATCATGTGGTAACCTTCAGTTATATTTTGTGAGAAATGTACATTCCATGTCTCATTCATACTTAGTTGTCTCATCATATTATTACGATCTTAAAGTAGTCTTCCTCAAGCAGGAACTATTTAGAAATATTGAATCAAATTTCCAAAACCCTTATCAGTTAAGATAATTACAGTCGAATTATCATGTATTTGCTGTACATTATGAAGTAGTTCCTTAGGCAATGGGCAATTAGACTGGGTAATGGGTAATCTTCCTGCATCATTTTCAGTTTTATTCTTTCAGAGAAAACAAGCAGGTCTGTAAAAATTACTTGAGATGTAGCCACATCATGCATTTATTTAAAGGTATTACGAAACTGTGTTTTATATTTTCACTTTTCCATCTAATAATTATTAGAATTGTTTTTTTTACCCACATACTGATCTGACATTTTCAATGGATTATTTATATTATCCCAGCATTTTATCCTCACTGCTGGATATATTCAAAATCTAGGAAGGGTTTTTTGTGTGTGTTTTTGGTTAATTCCTATTTGCTAACTTGCTGCACAGCTACTCACTTTACAGTACAGTAATCCCTTTGAAGTTTTTATATTATTTTGTTCATTATTCTTAGTGCTATGAATTTAATCTGCACAGATCTTGAATAAAAGTCTTTCAGAGTTTGAATCCTGAAATTTTACATATTTCATGGAGAAATTATCTAAAAATTGGAGATTTATGTAATTAGGTACAATTCACAATCCATATATAGCTGCCTGTATTTCACATTAAAATCATGGGCAATCCCATTATGAATTTATTGTATTTTTGGATTTCAGTGTATATAATTATTTTAAATTAAATATGGCAGCATGATATTTGAATTTTATTTTTGAAACTGAAATCTAAAAATATATATTAACTAAATTCTGGCAGAAAATAAAAGCCTAATTGTTAATTAGTTGCACTGTCTATATTTCAAACAGTCTTTATTTATTACTGAACAATATTGTACATTATCACAGTATAATTTTGGTTGTGTTGAGTGTGCCAATGACAATCTATGTGGTAATATCTGATTTCCTATCCACTGTCCTAGAACAAAAAAACAGAGGGGGGGGGAGCTTTCATTATATATAGAAGATACCAATGTCAATCATCTCATCAAAACTTTGTTTAAGAATAGATAATTAATATCTTGATCTTGGGCCACTTAGTTGTTGTTTGTGCTAATAAAGATTAAAATAGTCAACCTCCTGACTCATAGCAGTTTAAGTAAGGAAGATTATGTAAGACAGCAGCCATAGGAAGTATTTTCCTTGTTTCCTAGTATGGGAAAACCGAAGCATTATATTTTATTTTTCTAGATTGTCAGCAATAAAACAAAGTTACTATAAAAGCCAAACTTTTGTTCTCAAAACATAATATAGAGCACCATTAGTATGTCATATTATCAAGAATGCAGTCAAGTATTGTTTAGTGCAAGTACTATTTAGTACCCTGGATTGAAAACAAAATAAATAGGTAAAACTTCAAAAGAAAATAAAACATTAATTAAAAAGGTTGGCACCGCTATTTTCATAGTGTAATAGAATTTATTGTTTGCTTGGTTCTATACTAATGCAATTACTTTCCAGAATAATGTTAATAGTCTCTCCTACAAAATTAAAATAAATAAAAATAGGGAGAAATAATTTTGCATCAGTGGAACAAAATTGATATCAGACATAAATTTTTAATAAAATAAGATTTTAAAACAGAGCAGATTTATTTACTTTAGATCTTAAAATTCAATGTTAGAAATGATCAGCAGTGTAATCCTATATATGTCTATTTAAAAGTAAATTATTCAGTAGGGATTACTCTCAGTTAACTAGGAATAGCTTTGCATCATAAATTGTTTTAGCTTTGAATACAGGGGGATGATTTACCATAAATATTAAGAACCAGATTATTAAGCATAATTAAGTTTTCTTTTTCAGACTGATTAGAGAAAGGCGCTCTTAGGTAATCTTGGGTAATTTCACATGTTATACAATATTATACAATAAAGAATGACTAAACTTACATATCATGCAAAGTCCATGGCTTTCTATTCAATTATTAGGTTAAACAAACTATAAAAAACAGGTTATAGGGTTGTTGTTGTTTTTTTAAAAAAGGTAAGTGTATACATTGCACTAAAGCAAGATCAACCAAATTCATTATGGTTAAGAGGACAATTCATTTAATGGAATTTTGGCTTGACATGTAGATAAAGCATATCATATGAATTGTTGTGGAGTGGGGCACCTAGTAGAACATAGTTGACTTATTCTGAATAAAAAATATACTTAATTATGTATGTTGCAGGACTCGTTACTTTAATTCTGTGTAAGTAAGATGGGGAGCTGCTTAAATTGCACCAGCCCTTTGTCGTTTTCAAAATAATTGAATTATATTTTAAATTTAATAGAAATAAATTTGGTTAAAGAATTTTTAAAGCAATTAACTTAGCTGATTAAACACTGTCATACAGGAGAACATAAGGAACAAACATGAAAACTCAATAGGCAGTAAACAAAATATTGATGTAAGATGGGTGTTATTAAATAGAATTGATGTTATTTAAGAAGCATTTAAAACATTAAAACGCATTAAGAAGGGACAGTTTAAGAACTAAATAAAATGCATTGCACTAGAACTTCTTGGTGGACATTGGCTAAAATTAGTTTATTCTTTATGTTTTTGCTACAGAATGCTGGGAAAAATAGTTACAAAATAGGAATTTTACAAGATAGAAAATTTAGAAGTTAGAAAATTATGTGAATTTATAGCTCAGATGTGGTGGCAGGGGGAACATCAAATTCTGTACAGAAGCCAGTGTGTCCGTCCCAAAGCATTCCTTGAACTTTAAGGCAAGTTGAAAATCAAATGAAGGTTGCTACATCAAATAAAATGTAATTCAATCCCATTATACAATATGAGCTAGAGTTTCAACCTCTTATATGAAGTCTCTGTTTGTGATCATGTGCATGTAATACATATTTAGAAGCTCAATTAAATCTTTTTAAGTGATTTGGATTTCAATTGTGATATCCCAAGAATAAAAGGTGATGTAGTTCAATATTACTGCAAAATATTATTTTTAAAAATAAACCTACTGAAATCTACTCTTTATTTCTGATTTGTTTATTCACTGTTAATGTGTGATTGTCTTTAGGCATGCAGAGGCCTGACCAATGGGACTAGTTTTGTTAAATCTTCCCTGTTTGCTTTCTTCAACCAAGGTGTTCAGTCTTTACCCCTCTCTGATTAATTATAGCCTTCTTGAATTTATGCTTTCACTCAGTGAAAATCTGTAAATCAGTACCTTAAGCTTCTAGAAAGCCGTATGTTCTTTGGAATTCCTTTCTCTGATAGTTGCACATTAATACTGGACTAGTAGTTAAGTCCAGTGTTTACAATTATTACTATAGTAACGGTATCCTTAGTCACTGAGATATTGTTCTGATTTGTATTATGTAGCAAGGCTAAAATTGGTGCTTCCTGTTTTGTGGGCTTCTGCATTTTTGTTTCTTAGACAAATCAAAATCAAGAAATAGTTTTAACATTTGAACTTAATGGAGGTATCATTAGCTAGTACCTTAAGCTATATTGTTTTATAAACAGATTCTGCTACTAAATGCACAAAAAATGAAAGCTTAGAAATAAAATCCATCCATTAATTTGGTTTGTCTTGATTTTCAGTATCAGCATATTGCAGCAATCTGGTCACTATTAAGGAAGTATTTGTGTTAATAGACTGTTACATCCAGTTTAAACCAGTCTTCAAGATCTATTGCCATTAGGGGGATATGAAACTGCTTACAACTGCCAAATGTACTGATTAAGTGTTGGATTTGGGCTGGAAAAATTGAGGTTGAAGTCCATGTTCAATCATGGCTTTCAAAGTGATTTGAGCCTCTCACTTTCTGTCCAGGCATTTGCCAGGAGTCAATACAGTATGGACTTGAACATACACTATCTCTTCTCAGTTATTGTGGGGAAAAATTAAGCACCATATTAGCTACTTAGAGCTTGTTGATCCTTTCAAAAAAAAAAAGGTGGCAAAAAGATGCAAAAATGAGTAAGATTAAGATTTGTATTCACACTAGGTATTTTATATTAGACCACAGCAAAGCCCTCTGTAGATATAACATAGTGCATGAGGTTATGACTGGTCCTTTTTGAACTGATTACACCAAGAGTTAAAATGGTTGCCTTTGAATCATCTTCAACTCCTACTGCCTGCCTGAACTAATCCCTAATGTTTTGTTGGCAAAATTTTTGGTTTGCCCTAGGTTTCTTCTTGCAAGGGCTGAGAATGAATGGCCCAAAGTGATCCAGCTGGTTTTATTCCTAAAACAGGACTAGAATTACAGTCTCCTGATTTGTAGCTCAGTGCTTTAACATGCAATTGAAAGGGCTGGAATTCACATTTAGGAATATTTGCTGTGGCAGCAAACTGTCTTTTGTCATTTGAGACCAAGTAGGTAACAATTAAAAAAAAAAGCTTTTAAGTTGTACCATCATTTAGGATTATTTTTTCCTCAAGAAATTTGATAAGTATCAAAATATTTTGGTCTCATATGGAAAGACGTTTTGATAGTATTTGAAAGTAATTGCCTTGGAAATGTTAAAATATGGTATATAAATCTTTAGTAAACAATAAGAGACATATTTTTTCTATGGGCCTGATTTTTTTTAATGTAAACTTTATTGAAGTTTACATGTAAAATAAACATGTAAAACATACAGAAATGAACCTGTAAAACTAAACATCAAATTTAAAAAACATACAGCTCTCCTATTCTAAAATGACTTAAAAGGTCATCTTACTCTAGATCAGTTTTCAACTACTGTAAAGTCCTGGAGCCCTTTGAAGACTGTTTTAAGATAAATCACTATGGAACAATTGTTTATTACCGCATGGATTATCATCTGGGCAGAATATGTATCACTGGTAGGGCAAAGGGGCAATAGAAAATAATGAAGCAAAAAGTTCATGAAATAGATAATTAACGAACAAGTTACTGTAGTTTAGTTCATCTTAATGCCATCTTCTCCAGTAAATCATTTCAGTGAATGGCTAAGTTTGTTAGCAAGAGTGCTGGTTTTCTCCAACATATATCTCATCTCTCTTTCTTGAGGTTTTAAAAAAAGTTGGTAGGGAAGAAGGTGAAGTAAAGAGGTTTTTTATTGCTAGCTACTTTTTCCTTCCTGCTGTTTTAACCAGTTTTAACTTCTTTAATCCAAGCCAAGGTAGCAATGGCTGTTGAACCTCCTCTAAGGTGCCTCTTCAGCATTTACTTTCAATAGGTCTGCCAACTTGCTTTGTAACCCAACAACTTTTTCAGAAATCAATGTATGAAGCAATGGGCGAACCGTGAACTTTCTTTTATCCTAAAGACTGCTCTGTGCTCTTTGGAAGCAAAGGAAAGGCCACGAGGTAACTTATGTAGGCGGGAGCGCATGTTTGACTGTCACCACTACAGTAGTTGGCGCGCAACCAAGGGTGGAAACAAGCGCGACGCAGCTGTTATCATTCAAAGGCCTCCGTCCAGAGCTCCAGAGGCCCTTTAAGTCTGCTGTGGGCCAGGATCGCCCCTTTCTCTACCTTTTGAGGAAGTGGCACGTACGGAGGGAACTTCTCACTTTCGCCTCCGAGTGGTAGCTTTCCGCAGCAAACATCGGTGCGCGCGCCCGCGCTCACGATTTCTGTGACAAGGTAGAGTGCCAGAGATTTATTAAAGCATAAGCTGGTGTGTCACGGGACATCTAAAGTCCTCGTCCCAGGAGGACTTAAATTTCCTGACATACTGAAGAAACCTGGATTCTGTAGCAGATGGGCTTTCGCCAACCCAACCCACTCCATTCCACCCTGCCATCATAGCCCCGTCCTCCGAAATACGATCTCTGGGCATGGGCGCCACACGCAGGGCACCGCACGCAGGGCACCAAGAAGTACGATGCCCGTCCTGGGGCACAAAAATGGACTTTCGAAGATTATTTGGCCGTGAATATGCTGCTAGGGGAGAGCTGTTGGAGGCGCCACTGTTTTGGCACCTAAGCGAGGGAGGCCATGTCTGCAGCGGGATCTTTCCGCCAAGAGGGACAACCGCGCCAAGCTGCAAGAACATGTCCGTCTTTCTCCCTTTAGTGTCTTCTTAACAGGCGCCTCGCCTCCGCCTTCTCTTCCCTTCCCCAGCAGGACCCGCCCGCGGTGCGGCCTGTCCCCTCCCTCCTTGGGAGCAGCCGGCGGCTGCAAAGCGGGGAAAGGGGAGGGTCCAGAGCGCTCGACGGGCGCGCTGAACCGGGCACGGAGCAGGGGCTGGCGTCGGTCACAACAGAGCCGAGCCTCCCGCGGCCCGCGCTGCTGCGGCATGTCTGAGGCTGGTGCGGCCGGGCTTGGAGCTACCGCTGCAGCGGCAGCAGGAGCAAGTCTTGGGGGCAACGGCGGCGGGGCCGGAGCACTGC